CAGTCACATGTATGATGGACTGTAGCATTCAGCAAGTATGGATATACTGTCAGTGTCTTGCATGGCAATGCTATTGTCACCACTTCGATTTAATTTTTTCATTAATTTTTCAATATTAATTGTGAATGATGTGTAAAATRTGCCTAGAAAATGTGTCCACAGCACTGCCTAACTTACTTTCCATCTGTAAGAATATCAAAACTTTCAGTTCAATATTTGGCACTTCAAGTGTTTYAGATGTTTTTTTATATACTCCCCCTTTTTTAATTGGAAGCAAAAAGCAATTTGGCAGTGTTGGATATATGGTGTTACAGAGATATTATGTCCAAAATGCTACAGTTTGCTAGTTTGTGTTTACTTAATCACTTAAATACTTTTCCTGATACTGCTTCCAACACATTCAAGCAGATTCTGCCATGAAGCATGGTAACAGATGTTCTATATAAGTAAGGTGAYGTGTCATCAGAGCAAATTAGCTTCCCTGTTGTTTTAAAACTTGCCCTTGTGACACCTGCACAATGTAGAGAGGGTAAGAGACAGCAGTTTTCAGCAACAACAGCTTTTTCATTAGCATTTGCCTAACAAAAAGATGGTCCATCTTGGTTTCTTTTAAGCTGAGTAATATTGTTGCATCATATTCATCTTTTAYATGAGATCAAGCTGAGTCACAACTAAGAAATCAGAAGAGTATATACCACAACACATGATTCTACAAAGTTTTATGAAGAGAGAATATTTGTCCTATGTACTATAAGATTTGAACTATGTAGTGCCTCAAACCAATTTTCATTAATGTGAATAACCAATAATAAATGCTTTGAGGAATAATGATGAATTGTGTGAAATATTACTACAGAAAGAGCTTTTTGTAGGAGAGTTTTCAAATTTCTTTGAAAAAAACTTCAAAGAGGCATTGATAGTGTGTTCATAATGTTTGCAGAAAGATATGATTCATTTTTTAAATTCCAATGCAATACTAGTACTGATTAGGGACCAGAACAGGCTGTCATGTCAAAAGTACAATATGTAGGACTGGATGATCCTGTTAGAACCAAAGTAGATTCACTATTGAAAATAAAAGTTCGCTGAGTTTGACTTTTAGAATTATTTTTCCTGGCACTCCTCAAATTCTTTTATATATTTCTCTCAGTKTAATATGCCTGAGGTTCACTCCTCAGCTATAACATCTTAAAACCCGAGGGAAAGCCTGTGGCATGAGAGAGCAGCTTGAATGAGGTGCTGGTATTGTTTACAAATGTTTCACTTTCAAAGAGTGTTTCTGAAATTAGTCTGGGTGCTACCTGTGAAGATAAGCCAACAATGACATTTTTGCATAAACCATTTGCTCTGTTTGTGAATGTCTAAAATATTCCATAATCTCAGGAGAGAACAATGCCATTTGACATGATACAGTCATTAATATTGTCAAAGCACTGAAGACAGAGCTCCAGCAATATGCTAATAAAAACCTGATGAAAACTAAAAAATGCTTGTCAGCTAACCAAAAAAAATGTCAGCAGCCTTCTGAATACATAGTTGCTGTATTCATTAAGAAAGAAAGGTTATTAGCATTTATAAAGACCATTTCAAAGAATAAAAACCACTGTGATACCTAAGTTATAAGATTGCAGGCAAACTGCTGACAAAAGGCACTACAAGAAGAGGAGGAGATGGGAAGGAATAATGTAGCAGCATCTATTACACGTGTGGAAAAAGGATGCCAATGCATTTTCATGAGAGATGATATCAGAAACTATTTTTACATCCTGCTGCCAAAGGACTATTTCTTTACACCTTGCAGAGGGAGGCACCCCTCCATATTTTCCCATGCATCATTAACATTGCCAAAATTATTTCCGTGTATCAATAAAATGGATTGTAGAATCACAAAGGGAATGTCTACCAGGCTACTCTGTGTAATTTGGTTACCAAAGTAATTAATTTCCTCCAAGGAAGGGGAAGTTATCCAGTGCTGGTCAATCTGTTGCAGGGTCCTTTTGTTATCAGGCACTGTTTATGGCTAGAGAATTAGCTTATTGTATTAAAGGGATAAATATTCCATTTCAAAATTCAAAATGAAATTAGGAAAACAGAAAACACATTGTCTGAGAACTCAGCTGCATCCTCACATTGTGTTTTTGCTGTTTCTCCTAGAACAACATTTAGCCATGAGAGATGCAGGCTGATTGTAATCAACTTTTTTTTCCTCAAAATTTTACAGAAGTTTGTTCAGTGTGCTTTTGGCTTTTTCTGAACTATGTTGGTTCCTACCACATGTCCCAACCTAGTCTATTCTCTGTAACTTACATAGCTCTGATAATAAGTTGCAAAACTTTTAAAAGATGAGTCAAAATGAATCTTTGTTAGCACTGTTTATGCCTGCTCATCCCTAGCAGATGATAAAATTATAGAATAACTTAGTTCGGAAAATACCTTTAAGAACATCGAGTTCAACTGTAAACCTGGCACTGCCAAATCTACCGTGTCCCTAAGCACCACATCTACAGTCTCCAGGGATGATGATTCCACCTCTTCCCTGGGCAGCCTGTTCCAATGCTTGACTACACTTTAAGTGTAGAAATTTTTCCTAATATCCAATCTAAACCTTCCCTGGCACAACTTGAGACCATTTCCTTTTGTTCTGTTGCTTGTTATTAAGGAGATCACCCCCCACCTGGCTACAACCTCCTTTCAGGTAGCTACAGAAACCAGTGAGCTCTCCCAAAGCCTCCTTTTCTCCAAGCTAAACAACCCCTGGTACTTCTATTGCTCCTCATAAGGTGCTCCAGACCCTTCAGCAGCTTCGTAGCTCTTCTTTGGATGCATATGGAGAACATACTAGGAGAAACAACAGTAAGCAGCTTTGAGAGGAGTTCTGCCTTAACTGTGGGAAGCCTCCCTGGCCTTCCTGCAGGCATCCCTGCTACCAGCRCTAGTGTGAGAAGGGCTTGGTGCAGGATTGCATTTATGGGAAAACTTGTCCTTCATGGCTTGTACTTCATGGGATGTGCAGTACGTTCTGGGATGTGAAGTCAGGATGCAGTGAGGGTCTGTACAAACATGTCAGCATTGGTGGATAAACATTTGGACTTACAGCAGTGTGCCCACATGGACAAGAAGGCCAATGGTACCCTGGCTTGTATRAGGAATAGTGTGGCCAGCAGGACCAGGGAAGTGATTTTTCCCCTGTACTCAGCACAGGTTAAGCTGTAGCTGTGTCCTGTTCTGGCCCCTTAATTTAGGAAGAATGTTGAGATACTYGATCACGTCTGATGAAAGGTCTGGAGCACAAGTCCCATGAGAAGAGGCGGAGGGAGTTGGAGCTGTAGAGCCTGGAGGAAGCTCAAGGGAGACCTTATCACTTTCTACCACTCCCTGAAAGAAGGTTGTAGCCAGGTGAGAGTTGGTCTCTTCTCTCAGACAACCAGTGACAGGACAAGAGGAGAATCTTAAGCCACACCAGGGGAAGTGTAGGTTGGATGTTCATTAGTTCTTCACAGAAACAGTGACAGAACATTGGAACAGACTGCCCATGKAGGTGGAGTCATTGTCCCTAGAAGTGTTTAAGAAAAACTGGATATGGCACYTACTGCCATGGTCTAGTTGACAACGTGGTATTAGGTCATAGGTTAATTGATCTCAGAGGTTAATTGATCTCTTTCCAACGCAGCTGATTCTTTGATTCCGACAGCATAATGGAGCATGTGGATGCCACCGCTGGAGGAGTGAAGCACTGGCACGCACGAGAAGCAGGGACAGCCGCCCGCTGGCCCAGCAGTGGTGCAGTCGAACACTGTGGGCAGGGGGACAGGAACCACCTCTGGCTATGGCGGGTGACCCGGAACGCGGGGGGTCCGCGCGGCTCCCGACGGGAGGATTCCAGCGCCAGCCTTCAGGCCCGATTGAAAGACAAGCCCGGGCACAGTCCTCCTCCGTGGGGGAGGACAGGTGGGGCTGCGTGGGGAGAAGCCGAGACATCCGTAGGGTGAAAGACGTGGGACACAGCCCGGCCGGGCCGGATCGGGCGGAGTCTCCGCCCGCCCAGAGCCGCCGGGRCRGCCCGGCCCGGCCCCGCCCCGCCCCGCCAGGACGGCTCGGAAGGCATTCTGGGGCTTGTAGTCCCGTGTGACGCCGTCCCGCCTCTGGCTGCGAAACTACGACTGAGTGAAACTACAACTCCCGGCGGGCGGAGGGACGCGCCTCGAGTGCCGTGTCCGAGCCCGCACGGGGCGGGGGCTGGTCCCGCTAGGTCGGGCCGCGCGGGCGGGGCTTCTCCGTGCCCGTCGTTCGCTGGCGGGACTCGCCCGCCCTCGGCCCGGCAGCGGGAACGGGAACGGGGCGAGACGYGGCCGCCGCCCGGGGCTGCAGGCACACACCGCTCGCGGCTCAGCGGAGCGTGGGGCGGGGGCGGCGAGGGCTGAGCGGGGGGCGGCGGCAGCGGGAGCGGGGCTCCAGCGCGGACACCCGCTGCCCGGCTCGCTGCTCTGCGCCTCTACCCGGCCGGCGGGCGGCTGCCTGCGGGGAGGTGGYGATGGAGAAGAGTTAGTGCGGTCACCGCGCTCCAGTGGCCGTGGAGAGGGCCGGGCCGGGCCGGCTGGTGCGTGGGACCTGCTGCCCCTTCGCTGAGGAGCGGCTGAGTGACCGACSGGCCGAGGGCGGTGGAGGGTGCGCGCCTGTGTGGTCCCGTCCCCCGCCGGCTCCTCCCGCGGGCGGGCGGGCGGCCGGCGCTGCGGTGGTTACCGCCTCCCCCTGAAAATGAAGAGGTGGTGGCAGCTGCTGCTTCGGGGTTTGGCTGCCGGGGGGAAGCCTGGATAGAGGCTCGTAAAGAAGGGTGAAGAGAAAGTCGCCGCTCTCCGGTTCGCGAAGGGGGAAGCCGGGCGTTTGTCTCGCCTTGCTCCGGGGCCAGAGCACAGCGAAACCAGGGACGCCGGCGGGGAGCCGCTCCTGTGCGCCGGAGGAGGGGGCGGGATGCGGGGGGGGGCCCGGCACCGCCGCGGGCCGTGGGCGAGAGCCTGCGGCGGGGCGGGGTGCGAGCGGCCGCGGCGGCGCTGAGCCGGGCGGCGAGGATGGTGCGGGGAGGGAGAAGTCCTGGCAGAGATATAGCGGCGGCGAAGCCTCCCTGTCCCCTGCCTCCCAACCTCCCTCCCGCGGGGCCGAGGCGCTGRGGAGCATGAGGCGGCGGCGGGGACCTGTTGTGTAGGGGGAGGCGCGGGCTGAGCGGCGCGGCGGGCAGGGAGGATGAGGAGGACCTGCTCCCGAGGCGCTGGTGTGTGTCGGCGACCGGCCGTGYCCCGGGCTGCCACGGGCTCGGGAGAATCCCCTACAGCGGAGTGCTGACAGGGGAGCCCTGCGCCCCTAGGTCTGCGCGGAGCGGCGGCCGCTTCCCGCTGGACTGCGGCTTCAGGAAGACGAGAGCTTGAAGTGTTCTTCGGAAGCTGGAGTTGCAGCCTGGTTCCTTACTTGCCTTTTTTTTTTCCCCTTTTCTTTCTTTTTTTTTCCTCCCCTCCCCCTTAATGATTTGTTTCGCGTGTCTCTCGAGGGAACGTCTTAGGAATGGTCATTTTTAGCAGTGGAATCTGCTGCGCAAAGGAGGATTATAACAAATCTCTATGAATGATAGACTCGATTACTAAACCTTGCCTTGACCAACCTTCTGACCCTCGGAGAGAACTCTCAGGGTGTGCGTGGGAAGGAAAAAATTCTTCCCATTTGAAAATAAACTTGAAAAAAAGACTATTTTTTTTTTTTTGAGAGCCTAACTTTTTTTTTTTTTTTTTTTCTTTCTTTTTGTCCTGTTTTGTGATAAGTTGTTTTTAAAAGGATTGTCCTACGTGGTTGTTTTGTAACTGGTGGAGGAAGGAAAGATCCCTCTCAAGCATTTCTGATATGACAGCTGTGGTTTCTGAAGAGTTAAGTGGTGTTTGCATGATACACCTATTGCTAGTCTGGTAGCAGACTTTCATCGTATTATTTGCTTTTTTTATTAACTGGAGCTGGTGGAGAGGGCTCTCTCGGTCAGAAGAATATTTGCACTTATATATTTGTATATATTTTTGGTGGGGTTCTCCCCACATTTTACGCTTTCTTGATGACTCCTGGAGGTGGTAGTGGGCCCATGAAAGACTGTGAATACAGTCAGATCAGCACACACAGCTCTTCATCTCCCATGGAGTCTCCCCATAAGAAAAAGAAATCAGTTCCCAAGAGAAAATGGGAGGTTTTTCCTGGAAGAAACAAATTCTTCTGCAATGGGAGGATCATGATGGCTCGACAGACTGGAGTCTTCTACCTGACTCTTGTTCTCATCTTGGTCACCAGTGGACTCTTCTTTGCGTTTGAGTAAGTGACTTTAATGTCTTTGTATATTCCTTGCCCTCCTCTGGCTATTTATTTTCTGTCTGAAAGCAAAATTAACATTTTTATTTATGAGAGAATGCTAACTGAATTCCACTAATATTGGTTTATATAATTGAAAATATGATCTGATAAGATGCTGAGGGGTGCACAGTACAGTTTGGGTTATCATATGCTGGAAAACTAATGAGGATTAAGGTTGAAGTGCTTTTATAATCACAGGCTTCCAGCTCTTGCTGGTGTTGCAAGAGGAGTGTTGCAGATTTGGGATGACCAGGAAATGATGTAGCTCGTTSTCTGTCAATTACTCTGAGAATCAAAACTGGCACATGCAAAAATACTGACTCTGTCACAGAACTGAATGCAAGAAAAGCAGTATCTTTCATTAGTTTATGAATTAAGCATGGGGTTTTTTTTTTTTTTTTTCTCTTGCCATCATTTAGTAGCTTGTGGATGAGAACTTGAAGTGAGGAGAAAAAAGAAAGCTGTACAATTTTACATGTACCTAGCTTTCCACCACTAGGTAACAGCATTACTTTCTCTTTGTGCTGGTAACTTGTATGTGAGTTTAGTCTTAGTTTAAGCTACATTTGCTTTGGCAGTTTGGTCTGTATTTTTTTTTAAAAGCAAGCTTATGGTATACTTCTAGGGTTTATTTTCTCTSTTGCTCTGGAGTCCTTTTCATCTATATCAAGTGAACACACAGTGACAGCAAATCAAATATACTGATTTTTACACTTATGTTGTAGTAGTTAACTACATATGGCAGTAAAGAATTAGGCACTTGAGATGAGCAATAAGATTTGACTTTTATTCTTTTTATTTAGGAACCAAATACAAAGATGTTTACATAGCTACAGAACTTTCTATAACAATAATTATGTTAAAGGGTTAGTGGTACTTTACCTGCTTTAAATCATTGCAGTTTGACTTGTGGCAGGAAAATATCTCCAAATTACTTCTTTCTGCARTAAGAAATAATATTTATAACTAAGTTTTGGTGCTGCCTCTGGAAACTGTTTTGCTAAGTGGTACGGTTGAAAAACAAAGGTCATTCATTACTTGGTGTCTTCAAGCAAGAAGATAGGGACATTAACAAACYCTAAATTGTAGCTGTTAAATGGAGATCACCTTAACAATAGTGGTAATAAAGAAAGTAAAAATGCTCAACAGATAACCAGTGGCTAAATGTGTATGTGAGCTCAGTGGATGAATTGCCATTCATGGGCTCCAGATTACTTTAGATGGGTTTATGAAATGTAAACCTGCAGACATGAAGCTGCTTGAATATAATTTGAGAAGTTGAAGTAGCACATTTGATGGTGTCCACACTGAAGTGTGTTTACTTCCCTGGTTTTACAGGGTATTAAAGGTGTAGCCTGATAGTATTGCATCAGGACTGGGTGCTACTCTATTCTGTTTGTCATGATTAAGCTTTTGGAAGGCTTTTCTGTGTGGGCTGACACTTGTATGTGCAGTCTCATCACCTTAAGCACAGCTTCTGAAGGCTACTGGACTTCCTGCAGATACCAAAACAAATGTAGGATTGAAACTGTTTTATAATCAGGATTGTAAAACTGATTTATTAAGCCACCATTTGCAATTTATTTATATGTTTTGACACTTTGATCTTTCAGAGATAAATTTTCTTTGCAGCTAAAGCAGGATGATCTGCTAGCTGTTCATCACCTTCTGATCTCATCTCTGCTGTGAGCTGCATGCTCTACCAGAGTTGAATTCTGCAACTTCCRTCATGTCTTTGAGAAAATTTGCAGTGTAACCGTATGTGATTGACGAGACTTTTAGTCAAGCATTTTAATATATAATTGGAGCTKATTTCAAGTCTCGAAGCAGGGAGGAATTTTGGGCTTTATATAATACAACTGAATAAATTCTGTGTGTGTGTGCTGGTATTGAGTCATTCTTGTATCACTTGCACTCTCCTAAGGAAAATCAAAGTAGAGGGTGGCAATGATATTTCATTTTATAATGATAAGGTAGATTTTGGYCTTTAGAAAGCACTTGCATTGAAAAATTATTACTCATCTTCTGAAGGCTAATTAAAACCCAAATYGAAAGAATAGTGAGAATAGTGTTCAGTGTGTTTGTGATGTTTAAACTGCAGAGGATTGTCAATGTCAGAAAAAGAAGGGAGTCTCTTATTGAAGAGTGTTGCTTTGAAGCAGTTTCTACTTGTGTTTATTTGTAGTAGTGTAAAGTTACTATTTATTGATCAGTGATAAAATCCTGAGTGTTTAAGTGTCATTGCCATTATTGGCTGATTTGTTTATGGGGCTTCTTATTAACATCCATTAATTGAATATGACAGAAATGTCTTGCAGTCCTTTGCATATACATGTGGAGCAGAGTGGTTTTTAATTGGGCATGTGTGTGTCTGAAATGTAAGGTCAAATTGCCATTGAAGAGGAAGGTACTGTGTATGTCGTGGAAATGGTTTGGTCTTTTTTTTTTTTTTTTTGCTACAGTGGAAATAAATTATTTTGTTCCCTTTGGTTTTGGCAACTTGAAAATAAGTATTCATGGTCCAAGTCATTCCCTAGTTAGAGGCAGAGAAAGSGGGAAGTAGGAGAGATTACTTTGACAGCTAATTCCTTGAAAATCGTCATGTTAACATAAAGCATTGTCCTTTATACTTTGGCTTCGTTTGTTCCTTCAGTGTGATTTCCCTACCTTTGTTTTGTTTTACTCTTGTCACCCATGCATCCAGATCTGCATCTCATGTGCTTTGGACTACTCTCCAGGGAAGACGTACATTTCTCTGAGTCAACAAATCCTTGGTCTCCAAAAGCAAACATATGTCATACATCTTCACCTGTATAGCTTTTGACATTGAGTCATGCCTTTGTAATCTTTTGTATCTTCATATTTATGCTTTTGTACTTTTTTYCCTGCCTACTTTCTCCAGCTCCTGYTTTCAGCTAGTTTTATTTCTTTCTATCTGTTGACTTTTATCTCTCATGTACTCAAAGTGCATCACCACTTCTTCCTTTTATCTTTTCACTATTCTTTTTCACTTTCAAAAGAGGTAAGCCAGAATTTGCCTGAAAGAAAAACAACAAACCATGAGCTTTCAAGCAGGTAAAATATTTATAAGTCCTGCTTCCCTCCYCTTCCAAAGGGAGAGAATGCAAATAACAAGCAGTTTTATTTCTGTAATTTGTCTGTTAAATGTAACATGAATGATTGCAAGCACTTTTGGGTCCTAAGAGGGATGCTATTCTGAGTTGTTCTTAAAGATTATACCTATTTTAAATTGCTCAAGATGAGATGCCACATAATACTGATTCTGTCTTTAAAATTTGGGTATGTTATTTTACCTTGAAACATATTCCTAACTGTAATCCTGAGTTATTTAGCTGTTTTTTTCTTTTTTTCTTGTAAATTTGGCCTTGTGTTGCATTTTCTTTTTTTCCTTTGCCTTGCACCATTACACAGATATATATATTTTTCTAAACTATTTAGCACTCATTTATCAAAGTAGCTRCCTGTAAAGCTCAGAAAACAAATTCCTCTCCCCAGAATAAAGATAGCATCTGTAAGTGAAGGGCGGACTGTTTCTGTATGTTGCCTGTTCAACYACTGTATTTACATGTATGTAAAGTCCTTTATTTGTGCAATGGAGGCAGAACTAACATGCTGCATACTTACTGCACTTAGCTAGGTATACATATTCAAAAGAAATAAGAGCCCTTATGCTTATGGTCATTAGGGCTCCTATTTCTGTAGGTTACAGGAAAGCAAAATGGAGGCTGAATGACATATTTAACACAGCAGAGTTTGTGAAACAAACTTCTTGTGGTAAAATGGCAAATCTTGTGTGGATGTGAGTTCCAGAGYGGTGGTGGACAATCTTGGCTGTGTTGCTGCTGTGAGTTCATGCTGCCTCTGTGCTCCCTTCCCTCTTGGACCTCACTGGGCAGGTAGCAGGAAGGAACATGTCTGCACCTGAGATGCTTCAGCTCAGGCAGGCAAATTAAACTTCCCATGAAACGTGGGTTTAAGTGAAGATGCCGACTGAACTGAATTGACTCAGGCATCGTCATGTTTTCTTCTGTCAACTCATTTGCAGGGTGAGTGGCCCTGGAAGAAGGGTGAAGCAGATGGTAGAATGCTGGAAGGGCTGAGGCAGTGCAGCTTTTTTCTCTGTAAATGTGAATCAGAGCCCTATCACTTCTGATACCATTTGACGCTTGCACTGATTCAACAAGCTGGAGGGTTTTTTAGTTTGTTTATTTTGAGCTAATTAACACTTGATTTTTAATTTTTTTTTTTTCTGTGAGCATTTGTGTAATTKCGTTTTCTTGCAAAATATGGATGCTGGAAAATTATTTAAACTGAGGCTGTTTATGTGCATACGTGTGTACAAGCCATTGATTTCTATGCTCTTGCAGTTGCTGGCAACCTGCTCCATGCCTCCCACTTTGAAAACCAGTGTGACTGGAGGACATTCATGAGTCACACTTTCTGATGCTGTGTAGAATGTTCAATATTGAACTTCTGTGGCAAAGTGGTGTAACTAGCTGCTCACTGCAACAAACCTCTATGTGTAAACACTGATGTCAGTAAGCTGAGCGTTTTCACTGTGGTATCAACAACCCTTCTCATCTTATGCCAAGTGTTTTCTGCTTTTGCAAGAGGTGGATTCTTAGTATGAGGTTGTGTTCTAAGTAGGTGGAATGTTCTTCATCTAATAAGCACCTTCTTCCTCTGTTCATAAGACGAGTAAGTTACTTGCATCTCTCGATGACCATGTCTTTAAAGTACAAGTTCCTTGGAAGAAAGTGCTGCCAATCAAACTTCAATCCGACTGCTAAAGGCTGCTGTAAAATTATAGGACATTTCCTGTTGAAGATGTCAAAATGGATTTTAAAGCAAAAAGCATAGTATACGAACTAAAATTACTGTTCAACAAGACAACTGCATCCTTTTCTACATGGGAGGCAGTCACTGCCTAATTGTGCATA